GGGGGAGGAGAGCGCCCAGGAGGAGCCGCCGGTCGTTAGAGGAACAGATGAACCGCGGGGAGGCAGCGCCACGTCCCTAGCGACTGGTTACAACCAGCGAGGGCGCCAGACGCTGCGGGACACCCAGAAACCGACTATTCAGGACCTGCGCGGGACGGTACGATGACACAGCGACTTCGGGAGACTGTTTTATCTGTTCCTTTAAAAGACCAGCCATGGCACCCTGCGCCTTCATCCAAGAGGAAGGAGAAGCCTTCTCCAGGGAGAAGGGACCCGCAGGTCCCTCGCCAACCACGGGAGAGAATAAGAAAAACCGATAGCGCTCGGGGGCGCCTCCCCGCTGTTCACGGAACTTCTCCGCACCCCCCGCCCCTGGCCCGACGGTCGGTCACGGCCGTCCCTCCCGCTTTCAGATGAGCAAACTGAGGCTCGGGGTCCGAGGCTGGAGGCCGAGGCTGGGGGACGAGGCTCGGGGTCCGAGGCTGGGGGACGAGGCTCGTCCTGGCTGCACGTGGCGGAGCCAGGGTCTGCATCAGGTCCTCCGCACGGTCCTCCTCACGCTGTGCTTCTCTGGGCGGGGAAGGTCGGGCCAGCTGTCCCGGGACACCGCTGCGAAGCTGCGAGGCTTCCACCCGAGGCCAGGCGCCCGCACAGCTGGGTCCCTGTCCCCAGGCTCCGCTCGCCGCGCTCCTGCGCCCGGCCGCGGGGAGGAGGAGAGCGAGGGCGGGACGCGGCCGGCGCAGTCCCCTCCCCGGACCCTCCTCCGGGCTTTAAGCCGGCGCCCGGGCCCCGCGGGGCAGTCGGGCCGGCCAGGGCGCCGGGGATCGCGCGGATGGCGGCGCTGGCGGCCCTGGCCAAGAAGGTGTGGAGCGCGCGGCGGCTGCTGGTGCTGCTGCTCACGCCGCTGGCGCTGCTGCCGGTGGTCTTCGCCCTGCCGCCCAAGGTAACCCTCCAACGCGCCCGCGCGACCCGCTGCGCCGCGTCCCGACAGGCTGTCCCGGCCGCGCTCCTCTCCCCTTAGCCTGCCTCGGACTCTTCCCGGGTATTTCTCCTGCTCTTCCGAGAGCGGCCTTCGGGCTCTTTCCAGTGCTGCGGGATGATTTCTGGTTCTGAACTCTAACTGGCGCTTGGCCATGCTGCGGTGCACATTTCCCTCCACAGTGACCATGAACGCCCAAGGAATGCCAAGGTGGGTGGCCTGGGCAAGTCACTTAACCTCTCTCAAGTAAACTCCTGTAAAAAGAGGGGGGTGATGGTGTCAACCTGTTGCCTAGTGGTGACTTTAAATGAGGCAATATGTGTAAATCTCTTCCAATAGCCTGGTGCACAGTAAGTGCCTAATACATGCTTGCTGGCCTTTCCTTTGCACCAGGTCCTTTGGTGACAGGGGCAGCTAAGATTTAATGAGTGCCTCAGGTGCATCATCTTAAAATCCTTTCAGCGGCCCCCAGAGGGGGAAGACTATTTACACCACTCTCCAGAGGTAGAAACCAAGGCCCAGAGAGAAGTGACCTCAGAGTCACACAGCCAGTGACTGTGTAGGGATTTGCCCCCTGGCTTGTCCCCAGACTTTCAAAGAAAGTAATTCTAGAAGATCAAAGGCTGAGCTGAGGTCAGAGGAAATCAACATGCTGGGGGCTGGAAGGAGATGGTACCCAGGCCCCTCCTGGGTCTCTCGCCTGTGCCAACCCATCGGCCGTTGTGGAAGACAGAGTTCCTACTCCAAGAGATGGCTTCACCGCTCCTCCTGGGGATGCCGCGCGAGATAGTTAACGTCCACAAAAATCACAGCACAGAGAAGGTGTCTCCGTGGTGCCTTACCCAGCACTGCCCAGCTGAGAGCCAGGGGAGCTATCTGAAGGAAGTGGCCCTTACTTGGTACAGGAGTAAGGAGGTGGCACCTGGTGGTGGCCGCGAGACCCAGGACAGTGGTGTGGACGAGTCTTAGCTGTCGGACTCTCTTGACATGAAAACCAGAAAATAAATGATGAATAAGTCTGAGGTTGCCCGGGCGAAAGCCAGCCCACCTCAGCCACCTTCTGGCCTGTGGTTCTCGAGCCGAGCTCCTCTCTTCCCTGGGTCCCACTTTTCTGGTCTTTAAAATGGGGTGATCACCTCCCTGCCTTCTGGGGAGCCATGGGAGGAGTGACGTGAGCCGCTGACCGAGGCCGGCTGGAACCTGCTGGGAAGGCGAGGCTGAGCCTGTGCTGCTGTCCCCAAGGCCCCCCCAGAGACTGAGGAAGAAGAGAGGAACCCCCGCGTCTGTCCCTGACCTGTCTCTGCAAGATGGTGTCCATGTGTCATGAGGCCAAACGCCTGTACTGACTCTGGGGTCTCTTGAAGAAAAACGATACACACTTACAAAATCGAAATTCAGCACAGAGCTGGGGGTGGCCGGGAGGGTTAAGCTTCACTAGTTTTGCAGGACTCCCCTGTCCCCAACGCACACGCGTGGGTAGCAGGGAACCGTGACAGTGAATGCGGCAGCCACCCCTACCAAAAGGAGCGCTTCTCAATGCCCGAACTCCGCTGGCTCCGTGCTGGACGGAGCTCCTCAGGCACTGTCCCATGTGATGTCCCAAAAACCAAGGAGGCAGCTGCTTTTTGAGTCCCTATTTGATGAGTGAGGAAACAGAAGCTCAGCAAGGTTAGGTCACCTGCCCAAAGTCGCACAGCTGGTCCAAAGCTGGAGAGCAGAGGTTGTAGTTTAACCACTCTCCTTGGTCATGATTCAGTAGGAACCACTCCTGTTTCCTGCAGTTCCCTGGAGGGAACCCTCTGTCTGGCCCTAGATGTCACTGCTTCTTTAAGTGACTGACAAACCAGCACCTTCTCCTTGGTGCTTGGGGTGGAAAGTTCTAGCCTCCTTCAAAATTTCTAATGACATACCCGAAGCCCCCTTCCCCACATATATTCTTGGATATTAAGAAGTGACATGTTTCTCAATCTGATGTCCAATGTGAATAAGCGTGTCCTTAAGGAACATTGCTGTTTTTACTGCAAAACTGGGTTTGCTCTGCACGGGCAGTCACAAGACTGTCATCTTAACCAGACCCTCCCCATGATGGCTGCACCAAACGCTGGTGATCTACCTAAAAATAGTCTTGCTCTGCAATGTGTCTCCGACGTGTAAGTGCCTGCAGCGCCGGCTTCATCCCCAACACCAGAATGCCACTGCTGCACCTCTCCGCAGCCACCAATGCAGGGCGTCTTGTACATCCGGGTTCCTAGGAAGTTTGTTTTGTTTGGTGCTGGGATTGAACCCAGGGCGATCTCCACCACGGCCACACAGTTGCCCTTTTTCTTTCTGAGTTGCTTAGGGCATCTGAGTTGCTGAGGCGGCTTTGAACTCACGCTCCTCCTGCCTCTGCCTTCAGAGGGGGATCACAGGCGGGCACCGCTGCACCTGGGTCCTACAAACTTTTGAGAAATGCCAGATATCAGATCAGGAAGGAGCCTTGAGAGGCCCAGCGTTTGCTGCTTGCTGGGTACTGAGGAGGGTCCGTCCTCCTGGGCCTGGTTTTCCAGCTCTGTGATTTCTAGGGGTAGGTGTGGTCCAGAGAGGGCTGGTCTGGTCTGCAGGGAGCTGTGGTCAAGCCAGCGCAGGCACAGAGAGTGTTCTTACACTATGTCCTCTAGCCTGGACGTGACCAGCAGGGAGGGATGTGGCCAGGAGGAAGGGAAGGACCTGGGGTGCAGAGGCTGGAATCTCCAGCCCCACTGGGGATCCTGGCTCTTATCCCAAAGAATGCCAGCTGCTCAGGACATCAGGATGCTGCTGACTCCAAGTTTTTCAAGTGTGGCCATCATGGGAGTAGGAGGTTTGGGGAGTGGTCTTGTACAACATGGGCCCTAGGGAGCAGGCAGAGATGGACAGTTAAGACAGGCTTGCAAATAAGCATCAGCCCCATGAGTTTGCAAAGTCTGGCTCCCTTTCTTGCCTTGCACCACCGTGAGCAAATGAAGCCCTGCTGACCGTTTGGCCAAGATGAGTCCTTGACAGTGGGCACTCGCAGGTGACTCCAAGGACACTCCGAGTGGAGGGAGTCGGGATGTGCTAGACAGGGCTGCTACAGGATGTTGTGCAGGTTGTACACTGATCAAGGGGCCTTGACGAGGCCAGCAAGGCTGACCGGCCTGTCTGCCCATGCCAAACTGAGCCTCGGTGTGAGCTGATCCACCTCTACCGTCTGCACAGAGGTGTGCGAGAGGCTCCCCGCAGGCTTGTTCTGGGACGGGGCTCTTGGTAGAGGCTGCGGAGCCCCTGTAGGTCAGAGGCCCACTTCCCAGCAGCTGGTGACCAGGGAAACCGTCATTTTGTTCCTAGTTCTGAGGTTTTGAAATCAGAACTGGATTCCCACCCCACATGCTGGCCCTGTGACCTTGGGCAAGTCACGGTCCCTGTCTGGGCCTCACTGTCCCCACCTGCGACGTGGTCAGAGGGCCTTTCTTCCTCGTTAGCAAGTGATGGCCCATGGAATGTCATCTGTGGTGCCTGCACTGTCCCCCTCGACTTTTAGCTTGTGGTTAGAGAACGTTGCCCGCTCCCGTGTCACAGATGGGGTGGGGTGGCTCTGGGAAGGGACAGGGAGGGAGCATCTAGGCCGAGGGTGGGGTTGAGGAGGGCTTGTCTTGGCTGTGAAATGGGGAAGGGGTGGGGGCGGGGCCTCCTGGGCTGGAGACTTTGAGTGTCTGAGCCTCAGTCTCCTCACTGGTGAGGTGGAGAGGATTCTCAGCTGCCCAGAGGGCTGTCGCGAGAATTCAGAGAAGACAGAGACGTTTCCCAACGCTGTGCCCCTCTGTAACGGGGGATGGTCCTCCTCCTCCTCATCGCCCCCACTCTGCCCCACGACTTGTTGTCTTACTCGTCTTTCACATTTTAGCTCATTTTCCCTTCACAACCTTAAGAAGTAGCAACGATGATCATCTTTATATTTTTACAGATGAGGAAAGTGAGGCACAGAGAAGTCAGGCCATGTTCCCGAGGCCACACAGCTACTCAGTTTTTCTTCGGTCACCTTTCCCTCTTGGTTCAGGAAGACAGAGCAGCCAGGTTCTGAGAGGCCCTCATGGGAGTTTCTCAGAAAAACCTGGAAGTCCTGCTACATGGAGCAGGTGACTTCTCTGACCAGACACCGCCTGGGCTTTTAACTTGTATCATCTCGTTGAACCCCAGGGAGCTCAGACGGGACATTTGTCTCGTGGAGCGGAGCCCGATTGGATTCCCATCGTCCTGTACCACCCACATGGTTTCTGCCTGATCCCCTTCCCCTCAATTACTTAGTTACATTACTGTGATTTAGCGTCTTTATTTTTTTTTCAACATCAACATCTTGCTGTCCCCCTCCTTTAAAAGAAATCGGAATACACTGAATTTAAAAGGAGATTCTCTGTTGGCACCACGTATGAAAAGCCAGGGTTGTGAGTGATGACTAGACACAAACCAGCGACAAATGGTTAGTTCGGGCTCCTCGCTGCTGCCCACCTGGAGCCCAGGGCTGGGCCTGCCCCTTGCTGGGCACAGGGAGGAGCTCGGGGAGGGCACGGGGCTGTGTGTGGACTGAAGGGGGAGGGCAGCTGGGCGGGGGGGGGCCTGGTCCCTTCCTGCTCCTCCGCAGGCCTCGTGGCCTTCTGGTCTTCCACACCCCGATTCTGGACCCACTGCCTGGGGGGCATCTTGGCTGGGGACTCCGGAGGTCGGTGCCTGTCCCCTTCTGCATGACGGCTGTCACTGTCACCTCAGATAGAAAGAAGAGCCTCCTGGTGTGACCCCGCCGCAGGGAGACTGTTGTGCACGGTCTGGCTGGACCTGGAGCCTCCACCAGGGTCCTCACGGGAGGGCGCGGCAGGAGGCAGAGGCTGAGTGGAGGGTGAGGTGGCCAGGCTGGGTCCTCTGCGGCAGCTTCCCGAGGCACCTGCCCGCTGGCCCTGGACTTTAGCCTG